AGGATGCCGTACGAGAGGGATGACAGGAAGTGCACAGGAAGGTCGAATATTAGGGACCTCAGGGCGACTTTTCCGTGGGTGTCCCGCTCACGCTGTGGGACAGGCCTAGCGGAGTGAGTAAAGCTAGTGGGGTTTCAGATTTTGTGACTTGGTGAAGTCGGTGAACTGCAGAATTGTAAGTAGTTGAAGCTCCATACTCGTCTTGGCCACACTGATGTCTGTTTACTTTTGTATTTCATTTATGAAAAGGTCACCAGAGAATTTGAACGTGGTGCCTTAAGAAACAAGTGTTGAAAATACGTTTTTTTTCCTCTCATATGTAAAATGCTTGTCATAAGCTAAATACTGTTTTCACTTCATTTGAGTGTGTGTGTGTGTGAGTGTGTGAGCGTGTGTGTGTGTGAGAGTATGTGTGAGCATGTGTGTGAGTGTATCTGTTAAGGGTGGGGTGTGGTGAATATGATCATTGTATTATTAAGTACAAATAAATTTTTCGGTGGGAAACTTATTTTTCAGGTTGAAGCACTCAATAAATTAAAAACTTTAAATAGTTTAATCAAACTGAATGCAATGAAGCTAAACAGAGCCAAAGGGAAGGAAGCCATGCACACCTGTTTAAAACAGAATGCTTACCGGGAAGCTCTCTCTGACCTGCAGTCACCCCTGAACCCGTGTGTTATCCTCTCAGAGCTCTAGTAAGTGATTGTGTGTGCGTGGCCTGGTGGGCTCCTGTTGAAAATAGCAATGCAAGGATTTTTGAGTCACTGCCTTGGGGAACAGTAAGGTCTTCTTTCAGCTTCAGTAAGTGGAATATTATAATTAAGGAAGAAGACTCATTAGTCATAAGAGACTGTATTTATTTCCAATAGAATGTATTTCCACCAGTTAAATTTACATCTGGAGTTAGTAGAAGTTGTCAAAAATTAATTTTCTTTCAATCGTATAGAATTAAATTTATTTTTCTATATTACTAGTTTCTAAGAGTTGAAAATTCTATGTGATTAAAAAGTTGCAAAATGGGGAACCAGCAGTTAGCATAATGGCTATGTCGCTGGATTCCCACGTAGGCGACTGCGGTTCGCGTCCCGGACCTGGTGGCTTAGAGCTCTCGCCGGGTGCGTGTGCGTGCATGCCCACCAGATCCCGAGAGGAGAATGGAGGAGAAGGGATTGCGGCATGACCATCCCCCCGGGACGTGATTTCTCACTTTCTGTCTCTATGTCTCTCTCTGTCTGTCTGGCGAGCGCACGCGCCCTATAGTGAAAACCTCTCAAAAAAAAAAATAGTTGCAAAATGTAATTAATTATGTACTTACTGACTTTCCTATTTTTAAATGAAATCTTCTGGGGCCATTCCCCTAGATAACC